AGGGAGGGTGGCTAGGGATTGGGTTGCCCCCTCATATTCGCTTTACGTATGCGGAAAAAAAAAAGAAAGAGGAGGTATAGACGGGGCATCCATCCGTCCCAGGACATCCATCCATCTGGGGAGCGGGTACGTCACCAGCACGCCGATTTCAGCACCCTTCAAAGGGGTGTCCTGCGACATGTTAATGTGGGGGCGGGGGGAGGCAGAAAAAAAAAAAAGAAAGAGGAGGTATAGACGGGGCATCCATCCGTCCCAGGACATCCATCCATCTGGGGAGCGGGTACGTCACCAGCACGCCGATTTCAGCACCCTTCAAAGGGGTGTCCTGCGAAATGTTAATGTGGGGGCGGGGGGAGGCAGAGAAACCAATAGCCCCTCGAGCAGCAGCAGCAACCCCACAAGGAGCCAGTTGCCTTCTGTATTTCTGCAGGTGCATTTCCAGCCGGACTGCACATCGCTGCGTTCTCCTGCTACATCGCTGCTTCTCTTCTGAAGCCCCAAAGGCTCCTTTCTACCCTGTCACCTCTCCTTGCTCACACATACACACACACACACAAGCTCCTCCCAGCTACACTACAACATCCTCTCCTGGGTGCAAGACTCTCCTACCGCTCTTAGGTCAGCCCTTATCCCATTCCATCTCCAAGGCCTCTCCGCGGCCAGCAAAAACCGAAGGATTGTTTATCCATATGCCAGTAGTATTTCTGTTGGCTTTCCCTTCCTGCGCAGGCACAAATGGGTAAGAGCTCTCCGGAAAGGTTCATCTCCTTAAACTCCAGTGGGGACGTGGCGGGGAGGAGTAGCAGCAACACTCCAGAGGCATTTATGGAATTACACTGCATCATTTTTGGCCGTAGCTACGGATGTAAACAGATTTATTTCATTCTTGTAAAACAGTTGTGATAAATACTGCATAAGGCAGAGGGGGAAAAGCGAGCTGCTGGGACTGTTTACTAATAAAAGAATTGGCATCTTTTCAGGAGTTTTTTATTATTTTCTTTTACAACAGCTGGCCAAGAAAATTGTATATTTTACTATAAATAGATCTGGTTTGCGTGTAAATCTCGCCACATTACAACACCTCTCTTACAGCCTCCTGCATCCCGGAATCCCCCTTTTTCCCTCTCTCTCCATTTTTTTTCCTCTTGCCATTGTTCAGCAGAGATCCGTCCCTTTTGTCACATTGTCTCTCTCGCAGCGCTTTGGATTTTTGCTGCCAACACTGTGCGTGGGGACAACTTAAAAAGGAGCCTCCCCCCCCCCCCCCCCCCCTCCCCGCCGAGCTCCCTCGCCGCTCCCTCCGGGCCGAGGGGCAGAAAACACCGTTTCCTGTCCTGTTTTCCGAGTGCCAGGGGGGCAATTCCGGCACACAAGGCTTTTTTTTTTCGTGGGAGATGTCGCACCACTCATCCCCAGATCCCCCCACTATGGCCCCAGGGCTCACAGGGAGAGGCTTAGGCGATTGCCGAATCGCCCGATTTGCTTAAATCTAGTGTGGGAAAAAAAAAAAAAACGGAGAAAGTTTAAATCTCGTAGTGCCTTTTTTTCTTTTTTTTTTTTTCCCTTCTCCTTTTTAATCTTTGCCAGTAACCAGATAGGTGGGCACAAAAGCAACCCCAAGCCCTCCGCACACATTACCCTTAAATTTAAGCCAGGGCCCCAGGAGTTAAAATAGCGGCGCGGACGCTCACTTTCTGTGGAGCCGAAGCTGGAGCGGGGAACAGGACAAGAAGCAGGGCCGAGGTTTCGCCGCGTCCGCGGCTCAGCCAAGCTGTTGTTTTAAAAGAGCAATAAAAATGAATTATGACTAAACGCCTTCTCACTTAATGGTTTTAGACGGGGATCCCCAGCCCTGGCAAATACGTAAGAGGATTTTTATTTGTGCATGTGTTCCTGCAATTGATCTCTTTGATGAAAT